TTCCCTAGCTGATGAAATGATTTGAAGTGCTTTTATATCAGCAGCATTGAGAATTGTTCGTTTAAAAATGTCCATTTTTGGTGTGAAAAGGGCATCGGACGATCCCTTTTGTCCCCGTACTGTACTTTCATCAGTTTCTGAGGGAAATGGTTACCATGGCAACACCTCACCACAAGGTCCCCCTACTTTGATAAGCCACAAGATGATAGGAAAGGGTCCAAGGAGCCTCTAAGGATCTGGATGATAATCTTTACGTGCATATATAACCACTTGACCCGGTTCTGGACAGGGGCTCATCTAAAAGCCCCTTTGAAATGACCAATTTTGGTGCAACGCACCGCATCACCAACGCTTTTGCCCAGTCACTTTATGCCCTCTAGTGCAAGTATTGCACGTCGATTATCTTCTCGGCTACACTGGGTCCCCTGTCTGAGCTACCAGATTCCGAGAGATTTTTAAAACTGCAACTCCGGGGAATCAGGCATGAGGCATTAGTGGGGCCGGAGTCCTGCACCCGACAAAGTCTGCGGAGAGTGAGGTGCACCCAGTCAGCACGCGGGAAGCACAACGCCCTGATCGACATGCTCGCGCACTCGAGGACGTAATAAATTTAATTTGCTCGGGCGCCGTATCACACTGGTAGTTACATGTATATGATTAGATCTGTTAATATAGCCCGCTTCAGCAGCCACATCAGCCCTCGAGTTATCCTGAAAGTCATCCCCCTGAACTGGCTTTTGCCCAAAGTGACTCCTGGTTCGTAAGGTCTTGCTGTTCTCTTTTCTTCATAATTATATCCTCAGCTAACCCCCCAACTCTAAAAACCATCCAGGATAGCAAGGCACTGAGATGGAGATTAGAGGAGTTGATGGCAACACTTTCACGGGGAACTGACTGCACAGGGGAAAACTGGCTAGAGGAAAACACAGTAGGGTGAAGGCGGTGGGGGCAGCGTCGCGGAAACACACTGGTGAGGAAAACTGCACAGGAAACTTGAGGAGCAGAGATGGATTGCGGACGATCTATCTCCAAAAAGAAACAAAGAAAAGCAAAACTAAGTACAACTTGTGGTAGCTCCTCACACCAAGGGCTAACAACTCAGCAAAGCACAGAAATAACAGTCCTGCTTGACAGGGGGACAGACTCACTCCAGTCAGCATACCCTAACATCGTATGGTACGATTGGGTTACTCCACCAGAAGTTCTTCAACCCGCCAACAGATCAGAGCTCCCCAACTTCGTAGATCTGAAGTGTTTACTTCCCACTGTCTCCGCTAATTTCGTCTCGCCATCAAGAACTGCTCGCTTCTCCACTTTTCTCAGCTGGCTAAAGATCACCGCTATGTCTCATAAGCTACGCTAGTCTCATTGGGGGGTAAATTAGAGTTTTGGAGGAAGTTAGTTGGCGTTGTAGATGCGAGGAAGGTGGGTTCCCGGAAACGCCAGATACGAACTTTGGTAAATTTAGGAAGGGGTAATTGCGCTATCCGCTGGCTGCAGCATCGAAAAAAAGGGTCCGTAAAAACATTGTATCACAATATATCACTCAAGCCATTTCCTTTAGTTCTAGGCCAACCACCTTATCGGATAATGCAGGTATCATACTAGCGACGAAACGACTCGAAAATCGAACAGAAACCCCAAAGATATTATAGTGAATGAGAAACATGTTGAATACTTGCATCGGAATCCTGTTCTACACTTTCCGATGCCATACCGGTATGGTGCCTGTAGATAAGAGCGACTATTTTGATTATGCTCCCCCGTCTGGAATAAACCCTGCTTTTCAAACCCCTTCGAAAGTATTTCACAGATAAAAAACAGAAGAAAAAAGAAGAAAGAAAAAAACAAACTATCTTTCATTGCTGATTTTTCAGTTTTAATTACCTGAGCATGAGGGTAGGTGCCATGTCGTTAGTAAACCGTGAACAGTTTAAACAAATAATTCATCCGAAGACAAACACAGTTCTGTCCATATGCGCTGTTTGACCCTCACAACGGTTCTCCGGGTGCCTGACGACCCTCTGCCGTCCACTCCAGTGACATGTAGTTCGATTCTTCAAAATCCTCTCCCATGAGGGAAGTAGCCTAACACGCACTTTCCCTCTGTACTCTTATTCTTATTACCCAAAACCGGTATCGAGATATTTTCACTTCGCTCCATCCCTTTGTTTAGCGAGACCTTGTTTCTTCTTCCCACACCCGCCGCGCCCCTTCCGCATTCTTCGGGACATAGCTAATACCCAAAAGGTACTCTGGCCGAACCACAAGCAGGCCGGCAAAACCACCACAGGGCTCCTAGCCTCCTCCTGTTTGTTCATCATCTCCCTCAACAAAAAAATAGAGTCTTATGAGGGGGGCAGGGTTCACTATGCACGAGTATTACAATGCCCCTTATTCTCTCCGCATACCTCCAATGGAAAATATATCATCCTCCGGCCAGAAGCTATCATGACCTCGTCTTGAAGGGGGGGGGGGAAGAACCTGAGCAAATTAGCGGGGTTTTCGACAATGGCGTCTATCTATTATATCTATAACCGCATAGCGATGACGTAATAATATTATGATAGTATTATTCTATAAGTAAGCTTTAGTAGTGCCAACAGGGAGTACAAGGTGTGGGAAGACAAAATTCAATCCATATTCCTCCTAAATTTTAGGGGGGGATTAGGGGTACCCCTGGTAGGTTTTGGCTGTTATAGTGATGGCGGAAGACGGGGACATCCCACCTAAATATTTATCACATCACCCACAGCTTTTTACCGTAATAGGTCCTTGCCGGCGCGAGCCCGAAAGGGCCAAGGCCAAGGCGTTATGTCCCTGTACTTCAGTGTATTTTCGAGTGTATTTATGCAGAGATCAGTGGACACGAGCTTTCTGTGAGTATCACACCGGAGCTAACTTGGGACTTCCCCGGGTGTGGGGTCTCCTACGCCGACAGTAGATACGGTTGCCTTCCTCTTTCACTCTTTTTACCCTTTCCAATTCATCCCCAATATACAAAATAAATAAGCAGAAAAATTCTGCTCAATAATCACACAAAATCACTCATCAATGAATGAAACATCATGGAAAAATGAAAATAGCTGGGGTATTTCACCCTCCCACTCGAAACCCGTGAAACCAAAAGAATCAATAGAAACTCAAATCGCCACCACCTCAAGGTAGCTTAACCTTCAAGTCGCCCGAAAAACTCCTCTCATCCGGAAACTCCACTCTGCCCACCAATTCCTCGACCATCCCAATAACCCGAACAAGATCGTCGCGCATAACCCCAATAGCGACTTGCACAGCCGCGAACGCCACGAATCCCGGCTCGACGAGGTGATCCAACTTGACGCCCCCATCCCTCTCTTCCATTGCCCGCGCTAGCCGGAAAGGCTCTGGTAGGCTTATGAAAGGTGGTAGGGGGTTGCCGCTCGCTAGGCTCGCGCTCAGGAGGCAGAGCAGACTTGTGATTTGGTGCATCTGGGTATCGACGTTTCTGAGCAGCGTTGATAGATCCTCCGCCCATTCACCGCCCATGGAGAAGGGTTTTGAAGCGTAGGATATTATAGATAGGTAGTTGGTTATGTTCCGCACGCCCTCTATTATACCGTCGTACTGTTCCCTCGGAAAGCGGCCTCGGAGTGAGGGTTCGTACATTGTGAACTCTATCTGGGTGCGAAGGAAGTCGTTTGCTAGGAAGGACTCTGTGAGGAGTTTTACATGGGTTTTTTCGTATCTTCGCCCTGGCGAGTTCTTGTTCGACACGTCGCCGGCTGTGCCGTGGATTCTTAATTGGAGGAGTGAGAATGTTGTGCTGTATGCCCTCGCCAGTAAGAAGAGGGATGACGACACGGAGCTCCGGATTAAGCTGCGGGTTGTGGTTGGATATGGGAGGATTGTGAATATCATTGCTACGCAGAGACCTCCTATGGTTACAAGTAGACGGTGGGGTCCTATTTCGTTGATAGAGAGGATGGGCTGACCACTTCGTGTTGAGGCTTTGTCACCGATTTTGCGAACTTGGAGTTCGTAACCTGTAAGAGGTTTTTTTGGTTCCCCCAGTTAGTTTCATATGGAAAGAATAATCCATTTGATGTCACTCGGGTTCATACCGATAATGATAATGTGTGTGACCAGTGCTGTCAGCGTGCTTTGTATCATGTTTGGGTACTTGATGACAAAGTAAAATTCTGTGTACACGTTAGCTTTACCCAGATACAGCTCGCGGAGCGGACTTTTACTCACGGATCGCGATGAAGAACCACATAAACGATATTACCCCCCTGCATCCGAGTCAGTTATTTTCTATACACAGTTGGAGCGTAGGGACTAACGCTGTTCTACCATCCACAATATACCAGTTTATCAGTGCAAGTGTTGTGGCAATTGCTGTTGCCGCAATTTTTCCAACAAATCCTATCAACTATATTGGTCAGTTTGCACGCATGGCGGCAATTGGCGATGCAGCATACCGAAGCCCCAGAGGTAGGCGACATTCCAATTGCTATTACTATCGACGCCCACACCAGTCTCTTTTCAATAAAGAAAACATAACTTGACTTCAATGCCAATTAGCACTTGCACGGTCTCACGGTGGAGAACGTAAGTTACCATACCTCGAAATAAGCCGGCAATGCAGCAGCAAGGGTAGCGCAAGCAACCCTAAGCCCAAAGCTGCTCTCGCTGCTACTAATACTCTCTGTAAAAATTGCGATCAGGTTTCCGAGTTTTTGCAAGGAATTTCCAGCAGCCAAGTGCTCGGGATCCCTGTTTGGTGATATCCCGTCAAGCCCTGAAACTTTTACTGCACCAACATCGGAAATATCAACGACATCGTCATTGCGACTAGATGCCATGGAGCCCAGCCATTTTTTCAAGCGTTTAGCGGTAGGATATACTAATCTTGTGCGGTCTACCACGCCCTGTTGCTTCTTCTCCTCAGCGAATCGAGCGAGTGCTAGGAGCGATTTGGCCGCGTTATAGAGTAGGTATTCCATAAAGAGAACAAGATACAGCTCGCTGCGGTGTTTCTCATCCATATATACTCCGGATGAAATTCCTCCTGCAGTATCTGAAGTCCCAGCGGCTTTAGATGAACTGAAATATGTTCTCACATCCCCCGCACGCGTGCTGTAAAATGCTTGTACCTTCTCTTCAAGCGTTTGGCAGAAACCCTCCTCTCCTGGTTCAATACTCGGCGCTTCTTCATCTCCCCCGACCTTTTTAGGAGAAGGTTTTAGTTTCATTGTCAGAAGGACATGCTCGATTGCTTCACCACACATTCCCACTATCCGCTCATACGGCTCGTGCAAGGTTTTCATGACCTCAGACAGTTGCTCTTCCCTTGGCACAGGGCATTTTTCATCCTCGTCAGGGCCCATCCTGGCTGCGCGATTGAAGATGTCTAAAATCACAGTCATTCCTTGTAGCGGGAGCAGAGTTGCCCGAATCAGACGGTATGCTTCCTGAAGATCACCCGTCAAAAACCGACCCAACGCGACCTCCCGTTTTGCCATCGGCAATTCAGTCGATAATTTGGTGAAAAGATCGGCATGCGCCTTCTCGAGAGCTGCCAGTGCAATGGCAGACTTTTTGCCTTCTTCCGTCCCCATTGTTTCATGTTGTCTCAGGAAATTTTTCTAGAGTCCAAATCAGCTCCAGCCCCCAAGCAATAAAATTCCTTATCCAAACCTGCTCTACCAATAACCCTTTAGAGGTCATTAGGTACCCCGCAAATATCTTCCACCAAATCTCCCGACAATTCACCGGGAAAATAACCATCCCCACGGCGAATGAAAGCCCGTATCCGGTAAAGAAACATTTGATCATTAATACCACCGTACTAATAGCGCCAGACATTGTGTAAAGTCCACCGTTGGTGAATATGATGGATATAAATACAGTGTACATGATAACTGGGATTGAGAGTGAAGGGATCCTCGCTCTCAGAAGATTAGCCAGCCAGATGGTGACAAACAGCCAAGCAGCGGAAACGGCAGAAGCAGAGGCATTATATGCCTGCCCAGGCGGAGAAGGGTCATGAGCTCGTGCACGAGTTGCCGTCCAGACTCCTAGCAAGCACGTCGCGGCTGCGAGAGCCACTGCTACCTGTGGCATCGCTTATATTGTCATTATGGGATATTTTCTCGGACGGGCAGGAAGGAATTACGGAGTTCTGAATCGTCAATTGAACCAGTTTCGCTCGGGGGAGAATGCATAGCGATAACGCAGCGATGATTGTGACTACATAACCGAGGGTTGAGTATGTTTTTGCCACGGGGGTCGCTTGATACGCTGCGGTGAATATTGCTGCCGGGAGTGCTCCCCTACTAACAGTTAGCCACCATCATTCCTCAACTAACCCGTAATCAGAACTGTAGTAGCTCATACTTTCCCATCATCAACAACGTCGGACCATCTAATCCCAACTTCTCCCACAATCCTGACAGCAAGGATCTCTTTGGACTCGCCATGATGGATTGAGTGATGGGGGAAAAAAAAGAGCAGGAAGAAGGGAGGTTGTTCAGGAAGTCTACCATCAGGGTAGAGGTGACCGGGCACCTGCAGTCAACAAGCACCGAGAAGCCGATAGACTTGCAGAAATGTTGACCAATCGGGCACACTCTCGACCAATCAAGGGTGATTACATGGTTGTGGTAAGCTCATTGGGGGGAAATTCCTGCTTCCTGGTGGCGAGTCCGTTCTGAAACACCAACTTTCGGAAGGTCACGCATTCGGCATGAGGTTGAGTGCAGTACAAGAGATTTGCTGACATACAATCTACCGGTATCTTCATCGCGGGGTGAGCGCCAGAAACGCTACAGGTGATAATCACCCATCACAACTAGCTTCTTCCTGCTCGGGTATTAAGTTTGGGGCAAATTGATCCGCGTAGCGTTCCAAGATGTTCCAAGATCTAAGCGAGCTAGCCATTTGAAAAATCTAGTTACCAGAGTACGGTATTCCTTCGATCTGTCCGAAATGTCAGCATCCCCGCAAATACAACCTTTAGAGAGAGGCCTGCTCGGGTTGATCTTTATACGCTCAGTCCAGATGATGTTAGGAGCAGCTCTAACCGTACCAAGGTTCCTACTCTTCAGAGATAGATTTATAGCATGCAATAAGAGATTTACTCAAAGAACGACCAATTCTATCAGTTTAATAACTCTTAAACCTACAGTTATTGTACCTATTCATTGCCACTGCGCACTAGTATTTTTTCTCTATTTTTTTTAAACTGCTGTTCAACCTTCTCCCCAGGCTATCTGGAAATTTGTGAAAATCCAACTTGCACAAATGCCTACAAACAAGTAGCTTCAAATAAATAACAGCTAAAAAAAAAAAAAGGAATAAAAATAGGGGTGGTAAATAAAAAAATAAAAACAAAATAGTAGAGGGTGGTTGCAATAAATAGGTACAAGAATCATAGCTTTTAAAGTATTAAGTTCACAAAGTCGGTTTCTTGTCGAATGAATTTCTCATTACATGCCATAAATCTATCGTTGAGCTGTTAGGCACTCCATAGGAGTGCCACCTCCTTCGAAGGTCACGTAGCGCCCTTTCAAGGGATAGTAGGAACCCTGGCATGGTTAATCATCAAAACATAACCAGATACCGATGCAGTACTAGTACAGCACCATAACCATAGACCACCGTTAACACCACCCTGCAACTCATACGCGCTATACCTATTGAATCGTTGTCTACCCGCAGGGCCAACTGCTAACTTTAAGGTAGACTATCACCGTGACTTCTAGTGCTTCATGATGTCCTCCAACCTACCCAATACACATCCAACAAACCCTGTAAGCAAGCCCCGACTGCTCACCTCTCCACCCCGAATTGACTGCTATGATAACAAACCTTCCCCAAGGAGACCTACGAGAACCCGACATCACAACAAATTACCCCGAGGCCACAGTTGGTGGCACACGTTCGTTAAGGCCCTGGATGAGATCACTTCCCGCAACAATTCGTGCGCACTCGGACCAGCACCCAAACTACCTATATTCCCCTATTGCTTCCGGTAAAATTCCGGGAGTCAAGATACAGCATAAACTCGAAAAGGCTACGTGCACGGTCCCAGATGCAGTCTATCCTCAAGGAGTACTGTGCTGTACTGCACATAATTTCCGAGCTCTCGAGTCTGTAGGTATCCACTTTCAACACTCACTCCTGCGAGAACAATCTGTCGCGGCACTACGATACCCTACCTGTATATGTGCATGCAAGGAGGGGTCGTTCCCGTTAGCTTTGATTAGGCTGTATGAGCAAAGCAGCGTCCCACCGGTAATTCACCAAATTACCGTGTCTCCCCCAAATCCCCAACAACCGGGAGATCAACACATCGGGGGAGAAGAAAAAAAACTCGGCAGAAGATGGATGTCCCAGGACGTTGCTGTTGCCTCTCGTGGTAAGGCGTGGTGTGCTGTATATTCCTCTTGCTTCGTCTCAAGAGAGGGTTTACGGTAGTTTGTGGAGCCTTCCCCTCGCGTAGCCGGGGGGAAGGGGAATCCCGACGTCCATGTCGCTCATTTACCTTTTCTGTTCAAGCTCTTACGGTGCCTAGCTTTAGATACCAGTACCCGTACTGTACTGTACCATGCCGTCTTCGCTCGCTCAAAAATACCAGTGAGCCAAACGCGTCGAAGCCTCCTTGGTTGTGTGAGTACGAGTACGGGTACTCTTATGGTACCGGTACAGTAGTATCATACCCATTTCACCCTCGTGATTAGTAAGCTCCTCGCCCCCTCCCAAATATAGACCACCTCAATGATGGAAAGCCTCCTCCTTCTCCTCTTCAGCCTTACATCCCAGCCACATGCGCAGGTATGGTACGGTATTTAACATAAACACTTCCCACCACTCTTGTTAGGCTCGGTCAGCCACCGGATGGCCTCGCGGCCACAGTACCCCCAAGCCACACCGCCCAAGCTCAGCTTAGCCCTGTGATCTAAATATGGCACCCGAGCACTGGTACAGTGCCGGTAGGTAATAACCGGGAGAGTATGACGAATTTGACTTATTCGCCACCGTGACCCGAGGGAGAAGAGTCAACCACTTTGGTCCCGGGATGTGAATCGTGGCTAGGCGTCATAGGGTGGTAGTTGTAGTGAATCTTTGGCGAGTTCACGGGATGAAGTCATGTCGGGGCTTTTGAGATTTCCGCAGCACAGGTATGATAGCTAGGTAGGTAGGTTTAGGTGACAGTTTTCGAGACGCGTAAGTCACTGAGTGGATATCTGTCACAGTCGCGATGGAACATTTTTTCTGTAGGACCCTTAGAGGGGAATTTGGAGCAATTGTGGATATGTCCATGATATCACCGGAGTAAACGTATGAGTCCCCTTCAGGGTGACTCACCACCGAATGCTTAGAGAACCCTTCCAGAGCCTCTATCCAAACTCATTCACGAGACCAATACTCGAGCAGCAAGTGTGTTGTGGATTGTTATTAGCATGTCCTTCCGCATCTGAGTACCAGGGCCCTGCCAAGGCACCGATCTAGATCCGCCCTCCGTGGCGGAATCTAACTTACCCCTGGTGTACCGGTATCGTACAATAGGGCACCCAATCACTGGGCTAGCCTGAATATCGACTACCCACTCTCGGTAAGGATGAACCATTTGGCCCCTTCGCGAGTAGACGCGGGCCTCCCTAGCTCCCGCCTACTCATAGAGTACGAGCACCGGTACTCTCCACGCACAAGTACCGTACTTGTAATAGCATCGGGATTTGAAGAGCCAACTTAACAGCCACCACCATCTCAATAAAGCCAACCCCCACTTCTCCCGCTATCTTAAGCTTCCCATACGGCCGTCACACCTTGAATGACCTATCCAGCCACTCACTGACTCAACAGGACTACATCGTAACCCCAAGCCACCACCGCCACTCCATCCGCCCAGCACCCCCAGCGTAAATGTCAATATTAATAGCAGAAGACTTACGTCGCGGCTGCGGCGGAGCGGGTAGCGTAGCGTAATTAGGGTGGAAACGGAACGTAATCAAAGGAGGGAGGAAGTATTATATTCATAAGCCCACTAGCCTACCGGAAACGTTCCATGGAATCGTAATATGACGCGTGCCGGGATGTCGGTATGGGGCTGGGGGGTGTGTTCCTGGGACTTGGAGGAATGACACCGTGGTGGGGATGGTCGCGGAGAGAGGTTGAACCGCGAGAAAAGCTTTGCGGGGGGCGGTTAGTCCCGGTGATCGGCACCGTACCTTTGCGGAGGAGTCGGCTTCGTGCTAGCAGAGTGCCCGCAGTGCGATTGTAGAGTACGGTACAGTATTGCTAGTGAAGCAAAACTACCCCCAAGGTTAGTCAGTGCCAGTACCCGTTTTATTATCTACGGGACGGTACTATGCATAAACAAGCTACTATCCTACGATGATCAGGCAGACATTTCTACCGCTGCACCCCTACAGTACCAAGTGCAACTCCTAACCCCTTGAGTACCGCAGCACGCGCCAATTGTAGGAACCCAAACCGCCGGATAATCTCACCACAAGCATCCGCTCATAAAAGCACAATCGCGGGCGCCACAGACTTCCCCGATCCTAACCCCCCTCACAACGCATCTACCCTGTCACCACACCTGATGGGCGTGCAAAAGAACTTCTATCTTCACACACACACACGCACACACACACACACCGAACTCGAGTATTGTAGCACAGCATTCCATTGTTCAAAACGATACAGGTGCCGTAGCCCTACCCTAACGATAGGGCACTTTTGGCGTGGCAACTGAGGGAATAGATAAGGAAAATTTGCACATGGGAGGGGTTACCAGAGAGGGGAATTAGGGAGTGGACTTGAATTTACGTATCATATCGAGGAGGGGGGGGGAGGGGGTCCGCGGGGGCGTCCCCATCTGCTAGGGGGTGTGTCACCCTGAGGGAAAGAAGGGGGGAGTAAGGGAGGAAGAGGTGATTGCCGAGACAAACACCCATACATGCATTATGCAACTCATAGGGATAGAATAATGGTTCAGTGCGAGCACTCGAGTACAGCGCAGTATGAGTATCTCCATCCCCTCTTGCCCCGGCCAACTTTGAAGAAATGTAGGGTCGGTGGGTGGAGGGGGCGTTACCCGGGCTCCGGTTCAAAACATCTGTCCTAACGGATGACTAGGCCCTTTCTGAGCGATTGAAGGGTTGCGTTTGGAGATGAGCCTATTGAGGCGTACAATATTTACCAGTAATTTTAACCAAAATCAGCATCGGCAACCCCCCTACTCAGTAACAACAGCAGTACGGTACTCGAGTGCGGGTACTGGTACAGTACCACCTCTTTTTATCCCGACCCCCGCAACTCTAAAAGCGCAAATGATGTGAATTGCGACGAGTGATACGCACGCCTTGCATGTCCCTTGTTCCCGACCTATCACCGCACCGTAGTCGAGTACCACAGGCCTAGCTCCGGGGATTGCAGCGATAATACGTTGGCCACTACAACACTCAACCCGCCATGCGCTGAGCAGACAAGGCCAAGCCTTATCGTGATTTCTAGAAGCCCTACCAGTGACAATCAGTGCAGAGTCCATCGTGACTACTAGTACTATAGACAGACGCAGTCATTCATTTGCATCATAGAAAGAAAGGATAGAGCCTCCCATTTTGGGCACCATGAAGCTTCACCCAGAAAAGAAAAAAAACACCCCTCTAAACACCAAAGAACCAACAAGAATTCCAGGGGTCGTTACAACGGTCGGCCAGGTCGAGGCACGGGCTGATGCTTGTCCAAGACGGTAGAAATCCTTATTCAAGCTTCAAAAAAAGGAATCAGGACTTCCTAGAATCACAATATGACAATGTGTAACGGTTTCCCCTCTCCCGCCCCCATCCCTACCGAACGATGCAATTACCCCCCCCCTCCGTTATCGGTATCATGTGCACACTCCAGCTGTGTTTCTTCTACCACCCGCTTTCCTCTTCCGCGCATTTGGAAGGGGATATGACTGTGACTGGCCGACCTCTAGTATTAACCCGACGAGCCGCAAGGGATGGTCAGATGGGGTGTGTGTGTGTGAGTAAAGTACTCGTATAGTATATAAGTAACAAGTATCCCCCCCCCCACTTCCCGTAAGAATACCGTATCTACATTTCGGCACCTTTACTCCATTCCCCTTGCGGTATTTAGAGCCGAGTGCACATCTACTTATATACCCATCTACCTACCAACATCCACACTCGCACGGCGCAATACCACAATACAGTACAATACGATACGTTCATAACAAAAAAAAAAAAAAAGAACACGATAACCAGTAGAAAAAACCATGTCCGCGCCAATAGGCCCCTACGTCCCACTACTGATAATGGCAGTGGTGACTTGGAAAGTGGCCAACTCCCCGTCAACGTCTTCTACATCTACCGCCTCTTCCACCTCCGCCTATGGCAGGCCGAAAAACCCATACGTGAACACTTGGGGATCTTCGATATCTGAGCGCGTCTCGGCTAGGAGTATGTCCTCTTCCTCCTCCCCTCGTTCCTACTCGCGCCGGGAAAAAAGACTAACGGACAGTGCAGACGCCAGACATTCGAGAACCGGGAGTTCGCCGAGGAGTCTTGCGGCGAGTACGGGTGGACATGGATATGGACATGCTAGGCGGGGGTCGCGGCCCATGCCGCTGGGTGCTGGGAGGGGCGTAAGGATGAGTAGGGTAATGGGCGGGGTTCCGTACGGTGCTCGGGGACCGGCGGAGGGAGGAGGCGTAGGAGGAGGAGGGAGGCGATAGCCTTCGGATAGGCTATGGGTGAACGAACGAACGAACGAACGAATGAACGAATGAACGAATGAACGAATAAATGAATGAATGAAGGATATGTTTCAACTTTCGGTCTGGGTTTGGTCACGGAGTTCATTTTCTTATACATGGTTGTTTTTCTTCGTCATAATACATCATTAAATTTTTTTACTTGGGCGTCATGATACAATTTATAAGTTAGTTGTCATTAATCAATTTAATATTCACTTCCCCCCCCAAACAATGCAACAATTTCTCGGCATGTCCCCCTCGAAGTCTTGCGGACTGTACTGTACCACAAAATACAGAAACGCGCACTGGTATGACAGGCGCATAGCTATATTTACAAACCCCCCCCCCCCCTCCGCCCCCCCTCCCTATCCCCCCGCCACCCCACCCATCGCGACCCACAGTACCGCCTTCCAAAATCTACGCTACAGGGCCAACCCCCCGGGTGCCGTGACATACCCATGGCTCGTCTGTCGTGTCATGCAGCGGGAGCAACCGAATCGCTGCCCCCTACCGGCACAATTGCCGCCGAGTCAGGCGTGATATGTATAACTTTGGAATCACAGTTGTCACTCGGACATTTAGGCGCTGTGTTTGGGGTAGGGGTGGGTATTGGCGCGCGAGCGGGTGGGTGGTGAGGAGCGGTTGTGGATTTGGTCTGTCTAGCGCGGGGGAGTTGCCCTAGGTGGTGTCGTATGGATAGGGCATTGAATTGCTTCGGTGGATTGGAACAGCGTGGCCGTGGGGGGGATTCATCGTGGATTATTATTTTCTCCTGTGGGCACGATGAATGTTCGCTAGTGATTGACTTAGGGCTCGATTCGCCGGGTGACGTTACTATAATACCATAGCAGGCAGCGAACAAAACGGCGAGAAAAAGTCCTCTTATGGTGCAAGAATAGATAAGTGTGTACTATGTGGCACAGGAAATACAATAGTGGCTGTGTAAAATGCAACAGTGGCTGTGCAAACAAAAATTAGCCAAGCCTATCAGTGATAGCCCATGAAGGATAATAAATAATATAATTTATGAAAGATATTATATTAATTTAAGAATAGTATACAATTTGAGAATTTGAAACTCTGCGATGACTTTATAGGTCTTGGTTACCTTCTCTTTAAAGTCAGCAGTACCATAAGGAATTCCTTCATTGCTATCTCTGATAGAGTTAAGGCTTGAGTGGTATGAGAATCTGCTTCAAGTTTTTTAGGTTGACCTCCAAGACAACCAGCAGTCCAGCTTTGTTGTCTTCATTTTTTGATTCCAGCCATGTTGATTTTATTGCTCTTTGTTGCTATATGTGTTATCCTGCAAGTATTTTTTTTTCTTATTCTTTATACCTGACATAAATTATATCCAAGATCACCAGATTAGTCATCTTTTAATGTTGCATTCTGATGCCAAGACCATGAATCTACACCAAAATCTTGAGCTTTTTAAACCAGGATACCATTCATTCTACTTACTTTTACATTTTAAAAAAACCGTACTTTTATTCTGCTTCACTTGGTCTATATTTCTACGGTTTTTTTAGATTCTCTGAACTATTATTTGACAGGTTATGTGCCATTAAAAACATCCTAAAATGAGGTACACACTTATTCGTTCTTGCACCATACCACAACCGAGTAACTTGCAGGCAACATACCAATCAATCAACGGAGGAATATATACGCTCAGTAGGCCTCTGCTCAGCTTCGCAAATCAATCACCATTCTTCACTCTCTCCCTCCGAACAGCCCCTCCGCAATTACCGAGCGAACCCCTGCACGCAAAGCGGCTTATCATATATACTATCAATAATATTCTGTATATACAGTAATCCCCCCCCCCCGGTGATCAATCAATCGAGCCATCAAACCGTCCCTCCATCGAATCGATCCTGGTCAAATCCATCGTAACAATAACTCTAAGCCAGACAAGATACATCCCCATCACCCACCGCCACCACCACCACCTAGGAAGCGAGCAGTCTTCCATCAATACACCACAAAAGGGATACCGATGAACCTCAGCCCTGCACTCGCCCCCTCACTCCTTCAGACAGTCGGACTCAGCATATCGCTACCACCCGCCCAGGCTGAGCAAAGAAAAGAACGTGAAAAGAGCCAATATCCCTTCTCTCCCCTTCCCTCATGAGAAAGGAAGGAGAGCGAAAAAGAAAAAAACGCAATTACCAAATCAACACCAAAGTAATTTTTTATTTTCCTTCCTTTTCTGGGAGGTAAAGAAAACAAAGCAAGATTCGGTAGAAAAGAAAAAAAGAAGTATATGCATATGAATTTCTCACCACTACCCTGATCTTTCGCGAATGGTTCCGCAGAAACAAAGAGCATGAAAAAAAAGGAAGAAAAGAAAAAAATTAAGACCCCGGAAATCGAAAGGGAGAGAAGAGATGAAATGGAATAAAGCACAAGGGAAAAAAAAAACAACCAAACAGTCGCGGGGAAAAAAAGATGGAAAAGACAGAAACAAGGACCGGAAATAACAGAACGGACCCCATAAGATGAGAAGAATGCTCGGGAATCAAATACAGAAACAAATGGAAAAAGAAAAACTGCACAAGAGCAATAAGGTATCCCCAACTTTAGCTTCAAATATTCTCCCGCGCGCTGAATGAGAAAAAGTGGCAATGAAGAAAGGAAAATAAAATGAAACCCCACAGGCTTCATAGAAAAAAGAATGCCACGCGCGCTGCACACATACACAAGAAAAGGAAGAATTGCAACCACTAATAAAACAGAAAAGTTAGGATTAAAACGGGGGAATAAACGCGCTTCCAAATAGAAGATTCTCTCTCGGACAGCCACACGTCACTAAAGAGAAGAATACTTTATAAGAAACGAAATATAGAGCCGCCCGGTATTATGGGGAGAGAATGGAGCAACTGCCACCTTTCCGGTCATCCGTTCCCGCCTTCTACCCTCAACGCTTCTCGCTTTTATGCCGACACAAATAAAAATATCAATCTCGCGGGCTTTTCGCGAACGAGAAAGAATAAAATAAAATAAAATAAAAATCAAAGGCTTGGCTCCCCCTTCTCAATTCTCCAGTTATCCTGCGTAAATCGCAATGCCGTCGGGTAAGCAGAAGCTTCTTTGACCATATTTGCCAATGCGCATGAGCAAAGGCTTAAACCCCAGGATCAAACCTTCTGCATATTACCTTTCAAGCATCCCCCTTACTGCTCCTTGCAACACCCCTTCTCCTGAAGAAATCCATAACCCTTCTTGCCGGGCCGCTACTACCGCCAGTTCCACCAGCATCGCCTTCGGTGAACTTCCTATTCTTCTGAAGAACGGCAGGCCGTCGAGCACTGTTGGCGTTTCCGGCTCCGAGGTCAATGCTCTCTCGACCATAGTTGCCACCAGCTGCGGAAGCAGGAGCAGAGCCTCCCACTGCTAATGATGTATCCGAACCTGTACGGACTGATCCGCCTTCGCCAGTATTCGGCACACTGAGTTGAGGATGCGACGAGGTCTGTGGTTGGGATTTCGAGATGGCAAATTGACCAACCCGGAATCCGGAAGCGCTTCTAGAAGGTCGACGTTCATGCTTGCTCTCGGATCCGCTGCCAGAAATACTTCTGAGGGAGAAGCTTGTAGGTAGAAGACTGAACCTTCTTCCCTTGCCCTCTTTCGTCTTCTCGTATTTCGAGCGCCCACTCTGTTCCAGTGATGGCCTTGGCTCACCCGCACCAGTCATTGTAGGTCGAGAAGTGTTGTCCTGGGAATTAGAACTGCCCATAAGCCCACCCAAAAACCTACTTGCTCCGCCAGAACCTCCAATAGTGTTTGCACGCTTGTGCCCTTTTGCTGGCTGTTCGGCGGGCGGGGATGGCCTGCCAGAGTGTTTCGTCGGCAATACTGTGGCAGTCGGCTTTCCTATCTCGCCTGCACCCGCTGGTGCTCCGATCGCATCGCTATTATCAGGCTGTGGAATCGGGTTGCTGATGGTATAAGGTTTAGGCCCCCTAGGCACCGCTATCCTCCCTTGAGCATTATTAGCAGCCAAACTGGGCGCAACGGGCCTGGAATAACTACCCCGTGAAGGTAACCGATTAGAATTGATCGAATTTGCTGTATTTGGCCTTGCCGAATTGGAACTGGCTTGCTCGGCAGGGGTGAAGACCTTCCCACTAAATTGCGGCCCAGGCCTATCCCTACTCGGCCTCCTCGATGGGGCGCCTGAACCTGCGCCGTCTCCGGCAGTGGTTGCAGCCCTGGTCGGGGCTTGCGGGTGCGAACTCGAAGGCCTTGTTCGCGGCGGCTGAGCGCTGCTCCCCGACGGTAGCGGTGGCTGATCTCGCGGCTTTTGCTGCTGGTCCGAGGACATAGTACGCTGGTGTCTGGACGGCACACTAGCAGTTGTAGCGGCCCTGGTGACCCCATCATTGTGCTTGTTGGTGGGAATAAAAGGTGCTGGTGCGGCATCCTCGGAGTCGACTTTCTGATCAGGATCGGCGGCAGATCCTCTTTTAGTCTGTGATATTGGCTCAACATACTCAACCTGTACTGTGCGCCTCTTCGCATCCGATACCGGCTTAGATTGGGTGGCCTGAGGGGTATGCTCATGAGCGTGGTGCCTTGGGCCAAGCCCACCGAGAGATGTTGGGTGCGGGTGGCTGTTTGTGGATGAAGGTTCGCGAACAGAGGCAGAGCGCATGAGAGACGGCACATCTAAAGTAGGTTCTATAGATGAGATTTCATATCAGTACTTATTGGACTCGGGGGTCTAAATAGCAATAGCATACCGTTAATTGTCACATGCTCAACCTCCTTTACCCCTGTGGTAGAGCTAGTTATCAGGCTCACAACGTTAGCAAATGGACTGAGCCAGCTATGACGAGCAACCTCGAAAAGATCAGCCCTCTTGCGCGGTTCCGGCACAAGCATTCGCCTTAGCAGATCTCTGGCATGCGGGCTAACGTATTCCGGGAACGTCAACGGTGTTGATACGATGTACTTGTAAAGCAAGTTAATGTTGTCACCCTCGGGATTGGCCGGGTCATCGTCGAAAGGAAGGTATCCCGCAAGCATTGCATACTTCAAATTCCCAAAGTCAGCAACCAAACCCCCAAAGCAGAATGACAGGAGCCTACCAAAATAACACCGCACGACCACACGTCGACCTTTCTGCCCGTGTATAGACCGTCACTAACGACCAACTCAGGAGCAGCGTAACAAGGGCTTCCGCAACTTGTCGCCATTAAATCTCCTCTTCTCCTCACTTGGCCAGGCCCTAGAATGCCTAATAAACTACCCTCCTCACCGTTATTACTAGACACACCCTTCTCAAGCTCTTTTAGTACCTCTGGATCCTCCAACTTGTCTTCCAGCTCACCAAGTTCGTCCCTGGGATCAAAAACATTCGCAAAGCCGAAATCAGTAATGATGATGTTCCGATTCCTATCTAAAAGCAGATTTTCCAATTTCAAATCACGATGGACAATCCCTTTTTTATGCAAGTACCCAACACCAGAGACAAGCTGTGCAAACAAACGACAAGCAGGAGGATCTTTAAGGAAACGGTGATTGAGGATGTAGTCGAACAGTTCGCCGCCGGAGGCATACTCAAGGATAATACCAATATGGCGATCCGTCTCGACCATCTCGTGAAGTCGGACAATGTTCGGGTGAGACAAGGTACGTAGAATGGATATTTCGCGGTTGATTTTGGATAACCTATTCGGATGCGGAGAAAGAGAATCGCGACGAATGAGTTTGATAGCAACCTTGATGTGCACAGGTCAGTATTAAAATTGTGCTGTAGCCAATACGTACCCAGATACGTGCATGAACATTGCAGAAATGAATAGGAACCAAACATGACAAAAAAAAAAAAAAAGGCTTACCTGTACACCCCCATCTCTTCTCCATCCGAGCTTGACTTTGCCGAACTCTCCTTCGCCAAGTGTCTGGCCCAATATATATTCACCAAACCTAGTTTCCTTCCTGGTGCCCGTGGGACGTGTCCCGTTGCTGTCTGGATTATTAACAACCGCTAAACCACCATTACCACCCTGTTCCCTTCTGCTCCTGCTGTGGCTGCTCGTGCTAGCACCGGCCCCGTCAACCGTATCTTGGCGTCTCCTGGTGCTAGGAGATCTATCCACAGGCTGCTGGTTAGTGCTGCTGCTGTTGGCGGTTGCATTCCGCGAAGAGTCACGAGTGGAATTGGATCTGCCGACCGTGGCAGGAGGAGGAGGCTGGTCACGTCGCGGTTTGCTCTCCTCGGCACGTCGACGATCTCTCTCCCTATCTCTATCCGTCTTCTCTCGTTCCCGGCCATCGGTGCTTTGACCGCGAGTACGACCACCAGAAGACCTACTCCTCTCGGCCGACGCGGAGACCTGGGAAGAAGCCGGAGGCGAAGTAACGGCCGGCCCCTGACGCTGACTGCTGGTTCTTGGTGGGGGGGGGATTGGTGGGCCTCCTTGACTTACAGAATTCGAATGGCCATGTGATGACTGTGAAGGATTAACAGGAGATGACTCCACGGTGGTATGAACGGTAGGGGATAATCCAGTGTAAGTGGTAGGCCGAGGTTGAGATGGTCTACCAGCCCTGGGTGGTGATGGATTTGAAGGAGTCGGAACTGACTGGGAAGCAATAGCCGATGACATTTTTGGCCGTTGCGTAGGATTGTCGTCGGTGGAAAGGGTCTGTTGAGAGGGTTCTACGGAAGGCTGAGAAGTGTAATGTGATGTAACGAGAATTGTCGATTCAACCTTCGTCCTCGACCGGGGTGATTGCGAGCCGGTCGAAGAGGGGGGGAGGGCGGAGGAGGGTGGAGGGCGGAGAGCAACGTTGGCAGACAGTTTGACGGATTTTTCGAGTTGATGGTATGGATTTGTTTACCCGTGGAACAAGACACACAACGACGACGACAACGACGAAGATGCGTGACAATAGTAATCCTCCCGGGGCATACAACACACCAACTGCTCGGACAATAGAATTAACCGGATCCTGGAATAGAAGGAAGAGAAAAAGTGAAAGGACCCTCTTCCTTTTTTTTTTTTCTTCCTGCTCTGGCTATCGATATTCAGCCCGTTCAGTCTCTCCCGCTCTCTCTCAGAGGACAGGACCAGCGTGTGGTAAGCGTGGATGTGGATGGGAGTGAGCACCAGTATGTGTTTTCAGAGGAGGGAGTCCGCACACAGGGGCAGCAGGCGTTCGACAATGGGTGACGGGCGATTTGCTGTGGGGTCAGGGTTGGTTTGGAGGAGGTTGCGTGCTGGTCAGAGGGAAGGGAGCAGTGCCGGTATCGTTCGGAGAGAGGAAAAGGGGGCCTCTCCGCCCGGCGCGGCGAGTTCGGTGGAGGTGTGGTGTGGCTTGCCCGCGAAGAAGGCGACCTCCCGTCTCCGCCAGGATGCTTGAGGGGGGGATAAGGCAACCTGATGGGTTATTGAATGCCCAGTAAACAATAGATTCGGCCCAAGACCCCACCGAAGCTCTCTGCTCTGGGTGGGCAGAAAAGAGGGCAGAAGGGCACCAGTAGGGCGACAGTTGAGCCGTTCGGTTTATCGGTCAGTCAGTGCGTCTCTCTCCCTAGGCTGAGCAACGATGCTTCTCCCTTCACTTCCCTCTCATCACTCTTCGTTAGCACCGAGTGTACGGTAGGCAGTCAGAATACGCACGTATGATATCTCACCCCCTATGATACCCTTCGTTGACGGAAGAAAATCTGTCAAGGAAAAGGAAGCGGATTGCGCTGACTGGCCCGGTTCATGATAAAACTTACACGCACGCACGTAGCGTATGATACTGATGCTGGTCAGGAATCGATTCCCCTCGGGTAGGCGGGGAAAGGAAGGAATAGCCAGCACCACTTCCTTTTTTTTCGGTTTTATGTATGAATTGCTGCTTTAATCCTTCCACCCCCAATATTCCTCCTCCATCCCTCCAATCACACACCCATCCGGGGAGGGAAAAACGCTTCCCATCTTTCAGGCGGCTCAAAAATTCTGTCGCTTGACGGCAGACTGGGATTGGTGCAGCAGCAGAGTTCGCGTTTCGGATCTGCCCCATTCGCCAACAAACACTTTTTTCCTTTTTTCCTCGTCGCACAGGGAGTGAGGGAGAGAGGGGGGAATTCTGACTGCCTGGCTGATCAACCCTAACGCATCTCTCCCCACGCTCCCCAGTGCGCAGCAGACGTACCGGTACGAGTAAAGATGGGACTACTCGCCCTACTCGTAGCTGCCCGCATTGCGACACTTTTCTCCCTTGTTGGCTCTCACTTGCCGCTCCGCTCTCCCTGTTCGAGTGTCCCGTTTGTTTATCGCATTGTTTGTTTGTTGCCCCAACCACGCACGTCTTCTACTTTTCATTTGACACGTACTTTCTCGCCTTCTCGCCCTCTCACTCGCTCAACCGGAGTCAATCCACGACATGCACTTTTGGGGGGGAAAAGAAATAAGGGGAAAATGATTTGGCGCGGAAATCTCCAGAATAGGAATCTATCTACTTGTACACAAAATTAAAGGGCCAACCCTAGCGCGTCCTATCCCAGCTAGTGCAGGCGGAAGAATGAGACAAACCAACGATCCCCCTTTGGTCTGGCATGAAAGAGTTTCCCTATTCCCGCCTATGACGCCCATCCATTTCCGCCAGTCCACTTCTCGACCAGGTAAAACTACAGTTGTACCTTTTTTGCTGCTGGCACCATGCCGTCACCGGCACTCATATCGTGCCACCGCGTACAGTGCTCGTGCATGTTCTCGAGGTCTTGTATGATACGAGTACTGGTACGTGTACCTCAAACCAAAAGAGCAGGGTGTAAGGAGCACAAGAAGGATTAAAAAAGGATCCTCGAGCTTGTCCCTGTGGCCCGATGCTCAAGCAAGGGAGGGGAGGGGGCTTGCAAGATCAATAAATCGTACATGTGAACTCTGTCTCCACGATACGTGAGTACCGTACCGATACGGTAGATCTAAACCATCTTACTGAGCGTACAGCACTCGAGCACAACTTTGTTCGAGGGCTAAGTTATCCTGCCGTACCCTATTCAATGCAAAAAAGTAACCAGGCACGCTCAGGTTATTGTGCTCCTCAGCACTCCACCGTATCTGTACCGGCGCCCGAGTACCGGTACGGTACGGTAGTACGATACAGTACTCGAGTACTAGGTACACTCCTGCCATCTTATACCAACCGCCCGCTTACTCCTCTGCTCTGCGCGCCCCACCCGACTATTGTCACCCGCCAACAAACAGCCGAGCAGACCTGCCCCGAAAAGCCGCTCGAGTGTAGAATGCAAAGGGGGAGAAAAAAACGTACCCCCGTTTTATGGTATCGTAGGCAACTGGTGTATCATAGGAAAGACGACAGAAAAAAGACAAGGTGGCTCGGTTGATGTTGCGGAGTCAACCAGCAAGCACCTCGCGGTCGCCAGTCGCCTCCTGATATAGCGCCGATACTGGTACGATTGTCCTCGGATAAGTCAATACGGTACAAGTACCCACTACCGTAGTCACTTACAGTACCCAACACAGCACCCGCCCAGTCACCCTTGTTCCTGCCAAAAGGAAGAGTCGGGATTTTCCTCACGCACGGCACCGGTACTTGTGCTGTACGAGTACGGTACTCGTACAGGTACTGGTACATGCACAAGCAAAGCTCCGAGTGCAATTACTGTATGTACTCGTACTCGTCCTGTACGGGCGCGCACCCAACGGGTCAACGAGACCAGAAAAGTGCAGCGGGGGGTTTCCTGTATTGCGGTGTTTGCGCACACCAACCCTAAAGAAGTACCGTATCGTATCATCGACATGCAAACCCGTCTCATGTTGAGCTCGCTCAGCATCTAACCCATCCACGTGCCGCACCGTCTTCAGATCAAGTAACCCCAGACAGATGCAGACCAAGGTGCATCCCGTACAAGTACTACTGGCACTGTGAAGCGCTCCAATACCGTCACCATATCACCACCTAATTCCTCAAAATCCCGTTATCCAAGCTACACAAGAACCGAATGATCGAGCTGCCAGAAGCTGCTGTTGCATTGGAAGTACGGGTCGAGCCACCTCCTAAGGTGCAGTATGCGGAGCCAGACATTGAACACGGCACCGGTACTATACTATACCGGTATACATATCTAAATACTTGTGGATAAATACCGGTATATCTCTTCGGCCTTAATTCCGCTTGTTGACAGAGGTTGAGCAAACCCCCGGCAGTCTCTGCTCTGGGTGTTAATTCTTGCATGATTTCCAGGCTACTGCGCCCGTCCCGCATCTGTATCGTGTGTCATACTGTTCAGGATCGAGTCGTGAGGTGGGGCTCGGGACAAGTAGGGGTGGATGGGTTGTCGTGAAGAAAGTGACAGCGTGCTCCTCACAAACTAAACTTACCAGGGCACAGCGCCACACTTCTAACTCCCCCCTGCATAGTGCCTTCTGAGTATATGTAGATCCTTGGGACCTTCTTCTCGAGTAAATCCTACTCCCTCGGACCGTGATGTACTAGTACTCGAGTACTCGCACTCTAGTACTTTTACCCGAGAAATAGAATTCACAAGCCTCACCTCACTCACCCGAGCTACCGAGGACAAAATCCTATGCATTTTATCAAACCCTTCCCGCCCACCAAAAATCTTTTACACGCAGCAGTCTTAACGCTGTGGCTACCAACCGAGCCGATCGGGCGCTGTACTAGTAGGTACAGAGCACAGTACGAGCACTCCTGCCACTGATGTACCGTACGCCGAAACATAAGCTCTCGATCGTCCATCAACCAGTTTTCAAACCAAACCCCCAAACCCGAAAAATGCAATGTCCGCGTCTCGCTAAATCTACGTACCTTCCCCCGTCAAACCCAACACGCTACGACAAGCATACTCCATGAAGTAAGGAGTAAGGGAGAGAGCCAGTCAGCAAAAGGGGGAGAAAAAAACAAACGGAAAATCCCCCCGCATGCCCCCACAGATAACGACAAGGTCTGACACGCCCCACACAACCAGAATACGGCCTTCGGGCGTGGCCGCACCATACCGGTACAGCACTGCTCTCCAGATCCAGTACCGGTGTGCTGGCGGCCTCTCCTGGCCCCGGTTGACACTCAAATGACAGCTATATTACATAATGCTGGAGGGAACCACATTTGGTTTCATTTTCTCCTAATGCTACATGGAGCACTGGTTTCTTGAGGACATTTCATTTGTGGGTCATTACCGTCATGAGAATCCTCCTATGCCTTAGTGATCTCGGGTGTTAATTGGTGCATAAGAGGCAATCAGGCAAACTTTGCTGCCTTTTTGAGGGAAGAAAAACAATCTCCCTCGAGCCCAGAGGGCATTACAGCTGTGTGGGGCGTGTTGTGCCTTCGTGCTGTACGGGGGATATTTTGGGGGTTTTCCGGACCATGGACCTGCGATGCACCAGCTCACCCGCTCACTTGAGCCAAACAAGTAGGGAAAAAAACGTCTACCGTACTGTACCGGTATCAATCCGAAAGCTGATACAATCAACGTCAATTTTGGCACACCCGGCGGGCTACGATAGTTACTCGAGCGGAACTGATGTATGTGACCACTCAGAGCCCATTCTCGGCCGGCCACCGCCATCTACCGCAATGAAGAAACGCTCCATTCCACTCCGCAGAAAACACCGTCCGAAATAAACAATTTATCATACCACCTCTTGTTCGCTCATTTACGGTATTGTAATACGGTACCGGTACTCCATACCAAACAAAAATAGTGAGAATATTCTCCACATTAATTCGAAACAAGGTGTGTTGCAAAAGCCGGGATACTGCCGAACAGGCCAGCCCTGTACTCGAGTACCATGGATTTTTGCCATATCCTCCTATTTCAGAAATGTTCTGGAAGAGTTCTTTTGTTCCGGGTTGCTTTTTCTTTTTTTTCTCTCCATTCCTTGCATGGGCTGGTGGTGAGTGGGTGGATGGTTGGTGGGAGTGGCCGGTGAGACGGACGACGGAGGGAGGTTTTTTTCCTTCTTTTTTTTTTTCTTGTTTCTTTTTTTTGCTTGTTGGAGGTGAGGCAACTGGAGGGAGGCAGGAGGGTACCGTAAGATATCATACTGTACTTGTACCTAATGCTCGTACTGTACTAGCCGTTTTCAAAAGTATTCGGATGGCTTGGCATCTTTTTCGCCCGCCTTGGAGCTAAGGCATCCGGATACTGTACTTTGAAAACGGCTACTACAAGTACCGTACCGCAGTGGTTCAAAGGAAGGGTTTTTTTCTTTTTCCCCTTCTTGTGTGTGTGATCCTTGGGATATTTTCTTTGAGTGTGTTACCGTAAGCAGCTGTGTTCCGCTGAGGGAGCTTTGTGCCTTTACAAGTACAGCAAGTGAAGTAAGCGGGATAATTTCCAGAGCCAGCTCAGTGAAAGCGCGATACCGGTAACACAATAGGGGCGTTCAGCCCTGGAGTCGAAAAAGGTGTTTAGAGTGCCAGGTTTTGAGCGTGTCCACCAGTTTTGTATTCAAAGGAAATAAATTGTTACACACACGATAAGTCCTTCTTCTTCAACTCCGAAAAAATTTGCATGAACTTTCCCAACCCTGGGGCTGAATGCCCTTACTATAATAACGATTATTCTCTTATCCGGGAGGAGGTGGTGAATACAAGTGCCGTGCAAGTATGGCACGGTTAACCCCTTAAGGATCCGTTTTCGTCCAGTTTTCTCTCGTTCAGGCTCCTCCGACTAGCTAAGCAGCCTTTCTGAAACGTCCAACTCGCACGAATGTCATATGTCACGTTTCCATAATCAGCCGAATCGATACGAGTAGATAGTCTACCGTACCGGTAGGTTGAATAAATAAACAAATAAATAGATAGATAAATAAATAAATAAAAAAAAGTAAACATTCCTCGGGGGAGTCGGGTAGGTGAAGGGCTTTATTAGCGGGTGTCTGTGATGTGTAGGGTCGCTATGGTTGTCACCCATGATACGGGTGCTGTACCCCTCGTTCTCTTTTGGGCCTTTGTAACAGAGTAGGGTCGCTGTCTTGAAAGCTCTGTAATGATTTGAGCGATCAAAAAAAGGACAGAGAGAAAAAATGGCGAACCGGCTGGCTCCAGAACTGCCTCTGCTTCTTCTCCCTCCCCACATAACATCGTGATGTCGAAGTGTTTCTGCAAAGGACTACTATCGCATACCGGTACAGACAGTACCATCCAGGCACAAGCAAAAATGGCCAATTTTTGGCGGTATGCAATAGCAGTCCCCCTTTAAAAACGCTTCGACATTACGAGTACAGTACGGAGTTGGGATCGTACCCCCCTCCCCCTTCAAAAGCATGTACTCCCACATCATATAGAAACAACCAGCAGAAAGTACTCGAGTACAAGTATTCAGAATCGGCCCCCCCGATCACCCATATCAGTTTCAATTATAATAGAAGTATGGTACTGTACTCGCACACATCCCTATTCATTCGTTCCATCATTAAACAGACTTCATGCCAACATAGTCCAATCCAACAGACCTCTTGAACACAGTATGCTATCCCATGCATCAGTATTTGGCCCCCTCAACCTGGGGGAACCGAGACTGCCGTGGGGCATGCTTGTGGCGCTAGCCCCCCCCCGCCCCCTTTCCTAAGAACTAGCCACGCTCTTCTTCGCGCTCACAACGAGGAGTTCCCGAATCCCACCCCCAGTATCAAAGCTTCAATATCATGAGCGGAGGGACGATAGGGAGACGAAGAAGGGAGACATCCGTAGCACAGCATCCCAAGACGACGATACCGTACCCCCACCCCCCCTTCAACCATGATTCGAACCTGCATCGAACCGCTCTAACCTCTCCCATCGCCAAATAGCTCACTGTGCGGGCAAACTAGGCGTACAGTACGGTAGCAGATGAGCGGGGACCCCCCAACGTCCCCACCGCCACCCGAATCTTTAATAATACTGGAACAATGCTAAAATATTTCGGCAGGGCTTCACTTGTACTAGTAATAGCGCCCTGTCAACGGCGGTTGGTCCGACGAGTTTTCGACCAGGACAATCAAGCCGTCAAGTCAAGTCAAGTCAAGTCAGGTCAGGTTAGCGCGAAAAAGCGACACAGGGGTACTCGTAACTCCCAGGATGTTTTCGTTTACATATCATAAATCCGCACCCCACTATCCCCAACGGTCGGTGTATCATATCAAACAAGGAATCTCCCCCGGAACGGCGGGTGATCCGGGGAAAGGTCAAGTTTTTTTAGTTTTTTTGCTGCGGAGAAATTTTTTAGAGAGTCACAGAGATTTGCACGGACGATAACGAGGTAGAAGTTACCGGTACGGTGTTCGGATCGTCGAGATCCGGGGTGGTGGGGTGTGTGTGTGTGTGTGGCTGTGCGAGTGCTTTTGTATGCCGTG